CTTCCTACCAATATGACCATGTTGCGAAAACTAGGTCAAACAACCTCTATACAACGAAAGGAGACTGCGAATACACAAAAGGCCACACCATCCTGGCCTTCATACCTTTGGAAGTGGAAATTAACAAAACAGTCAACGTCATGAATAGGAGGAATGAGTGTAGAAAACTTAGTAGGAACTACTTGTGGCTGTTTGATTGACTTAGGGGGGGAGAGAGGGAGTGTAGGAAGAGCCACCGAGCAAGGGAAGGATGCTGGATTAGCCTCGAGTCTAGCTAGTAATATCACGCTTCCTATGACATGAATATTGCATACAATAGCTCGAGCCCAAACATGATTCAACATTAGAGGCTCGTATACTAGTTTATTTGTGTAAGAAAACAGCTGCCGCCGAATGCACTTCCTGTTCGGAGAGCAACTTCACTCATTTGCAAAAATGTAGGGTAAGATTGGAGTAGCTAACGAAATCATGGGATGCTCGCGAAATTAGGCGTAGAAAAACGACTAGGGTTGCAGCCGGCTCCTATTCTTCTTGGTTTAGTATATTTTTGTTTTATTTCGCTAAGTATGGATAACTGCTCTGATGATATCTGCTAGTACAGACGAAAGCTTAGCATAGTTTCATCGGGGTCGCAGGACGGTGAGCCGAGGACTTCTTCGCACAATTCAACAGTCTTCCCTGCACAGCAATCTTCCCTTTGTTTCCGGTCAGATCACATCACGAATCCCTTTCAACCATATTTTTCCTTAGAAATGGACAGTCATTTCACAATTCTTGAAGTCTATTTCTTTATTTTTATGAAATTTATCCTGGTTATTTTTATTTTTCACTTTGATGTACACCACATAATGATTCGTTGGTGTAAAACTGTTTGGTATAGATTGCGTAGTTAATAAAGGTATACTATAGGCGATCTCATTTAGAGTTTTATAATTATTTTGATTATTTAAACCATAGATATACAGAATAATCAACCTTATTTTACTTCATTTATTATCTCGTTATATTCCTTTCAATCCCCCTAACTTAGGAAACCTTTAATCTAGCTCATCTTGTCGACGCTCCCGCTGATCAGCCTGATCCGCGGCAACTAGCCCTTCAGGAGCGTCAACAAGCGATGAAAAAGCGCCTCAAGCGACTCCGACATCGGATGAACCAACGGTGCGCGATTTAGATTTGGATCTGTATATAATTGAAGTATGAAGACTGATCTAACTATTTATCCAGCCTCTCTTCTGTTAGGTGCAATAGACTTTAAGATTTTCCATAGTGAACCCCATTAATTGATAAAATAGGTATACCGCATCAGAGTGCTTTGTCTCAAAAGTTCTATTGCCCCCTAAATTATCTTAGTGCTACCCATTTTGCTTCCCTAAAATCCTCTTCGAGTTAAAAGGTTATATTCACAAGCGAATTTTATGAATGTTACATAGTCACTTCTTATTTTTTATTTTTTTAAATGTATGCTTATCCTCAGACGAATGCATGCCTTTTCTTTTATCATTTTATTCCTTCCATAAAGTGGGCATAAATTTGAAAAGTGGCTAGAATCTGCTGACCCTTATTCCTGCTCTGGTCACTCTAGTACACTCTCAATGAACGATGCGTCACCTTCTGCGAATCGCATTCTTATTCAGCGTCTTGCTAAGGAGATTCGTCGTCTTATCAGTCTTCCCGAATCTGGACCCTGGGTATCTGGTCGTGTAAGCAGTCTTGAACGCGCTCTCAATGGCATACTACGCTTATTGACTGCGGTTTCTCCACCTTCTACTCCAGCCGATGCTAGCTTCGCTATCGGGCTCGGAAGCTCCTGTCCCGTCTCGCTAGCTATGTCGACATCAACAACAGCTAAGCGTACCGGGCATTTACCCCACGAGAACTTTGTGGTCAACCCACAGCAGGTATTATCTCTCTTGTAACGAAATGTACATTTTGTTTCATTAGCCTGTCTAGTCAGTTCACTAGTGGCTTTGGTCTTTTTTGACATGCTTTGGTGGCCCTTAGATCCATCTGAAGAAGGATCTGTTTCGTTTTGGAGTTTCTTGTCTTAGCTCTGACTATTTTTGTTTACTACATCTTTTGTAAATTATCGAGAATCTATATTTTCCAGAGGATTCAAATTAGACATTGGACAGTAGCATACAGCGATAAATTGTTTGACCATAGTTTTTCGACCTGCTCATATTAGCAGGAAGACCTAGAGGAACGCACCTTGTTCGGAGTTCATAGTATGCATAATCATTTCCAGAGTCGGACCGTGGACTTGGTACATTCCAAGGCGTTTCGCCGACATCGTAGTAGGCTTCATCAGTGATTTTTGCCATTCTAAGCAACCATGCTACAACTCATCAAAAAGACAAGTGAAGTAACTCCCCTGACCAACTTTCTGTCGAAACAGTTATGTTATCATTCCTGGTTTTATCCTGATTTCTCTATCCATTTCCTAGCCTCTAATCTCGCTCTCGTCCTATCACAACTTCTCACATGTTTATATTACACAAGAGATGTGATCTTTTGGCGAATTTACCATGGCGCCATCACACATGCTGTTTTCCCTGCTCCCCTCCCTTTCGAGTGGCTGAATCTGCTTTATTATCCTCTCCTGATCTGTCTCATTGGCCCGTAGGTCCGTTTCTTATCTTTCTGGCTGATTGATTTCACTCTTTTCCAGCCTCAGCGTACTTTTACTTCAGATGCTATTTCTCAAGCTTTCAGTAGCACGTACAAAGGCCACACCATCCTGGTCTTCATACCTTTGAGTAGCACAACAAGTTTGTTGAAGTGACTTAAGCTTCTTCTTACCAACCGGATTCATCGGTGAAGAGTTTTACAGCCCTCTACGATGTAAGTTTGCTGTTCAGAGCTTGTTATTGCTTTTCCCTAATATAAACTAACACCAACTCCTTTTTTGGTAACTAGGCTTGTGCGGAAGCCTTGAGCCTCCAGGCCATTCATCTTTCTGGGGTTTTCTCAGCTACCTTGGTCAAGATATTTGTTTCTGTGTTCATTATTTGGATGTATTCAATGGTGAACCTGGAACTGACTGTGCAAGACAGCTTAATTATATGATATTATCCGTCAAAATTCCACTTTAATATGAAGCATTAGAATGCTATTTTTGCTTTATTTCCGGGGTAATTTGGGGTTAACATGCCTTAATGATTCAGATTACTCAATAGCCTTGGGGGCCAAATGCAGACCAGAACCTACTGTTGAGGTAGCCTAAGTCCATATTATTCTTCGGGGTACCCGGTTAAGAATATTTTCTACCATAATCAAAACCGACTGTATACGAATGCTACATCTAGACAATTGTGCTTAATATTATTTTTGGCAGAATTTTCCAATGCTTTTGATCGAAGTTTTTTCGTATTTAATTTTTGAAATGTTTTTCTAAAAAATAGCGAATTTTTTAGCTAATTACTTTTTGTGGTGAAATATTTTTTACATTGACAAAATTTGCTTTTGAGTGATGAGTAGTTGGGTATTTAATGCTATAAAGCTTGTTGTTTAGGCTTCTTAAAATTAAGTGAGAGGAATGCTCTAATTTGCCACTAGCCTTACCTGCATTCCAGAAT